GCTCTCTTCGCGAGGATTGTGGAGTAAGAGTCCTGTAGTAAGGATTCATCACGAGGGCTTCTTAGTAAGAACTGTTGAGTCGTATTCCTGTAGTAACTCTTCTTTACTAAGGTGTTGTTAGTCAGCACTCTTCGTCGTACACGTTTCTTCACTAGTGTTCTCGTAGTAAGGATTGTTGAGTAAGCTTCCCGTATTAAGGATTCTTCATGAAGGCTATCTTAGTAAGAATTTTCGAGTCGTATTCCCCTAGTACGTTTTTTTGTCACGAAGGTGTTGTTAGTAAGGACTCTTGAGTAAGAGGCGCGTAGTAAAGAAGCTGCATCAAGGTCTCTTAGTAAGGACTCGCGAGGTAATATCCCCATAGCCAGAATTCTTTGTTAAGCGTCCCTTAGTGAGGACTCTTGAGTAGTAAGACTCCCGCAGTAAAGCTTCTTTACGAAGGAGCTCTTAGTAAGGGTTGTGGGGTAAGAGTCCCGCAGTAAGGATTCTGCATCCACTTTCTCGTATTAAGGGCTCTTGGGTAATGCTCCCTTGATCAGAGTGCTTATTCAGGTTCCCTTACTCAGGGATTTGCAGTATTATTCCCGCAGAAATGATTATTTACTATGGTTCTCGTAGAAAGTATTATTTAGTCAGGGTTTCGTAGTGAGGTGTCTTGGCTAAGGTTTCCTGGAATGAACTGTGTAGTAATAGTTTCGTAGTGAGGATTCTTGATTCGGTCTCCTAGTGCGAGTTACGTAGTAAGGATGTCTCATCCGGGATTTCTGAAGAAACGTTTCTGAGTCTGGGATATTGAGTAAAAGGTTCCTTAGTAGGGATTCCTCATTGTGGGTTCTAGCGGATTCCTAACTTGCTTGGGAACGACATGGGCTGGGAAGCGTCTGCGCTTGCAGGCGCCAACGCCTCGTCGATGGGATGTGGCGATCGAATCAATTCCTACGGGATGCCAGCCAGAAGCCGATGCCATGCGGTGCTCCCCCCCCTTCCCCACCGGCGTACCTCCCGTGGGGAGCGACGGGGAAGCTCGCCTCATTGGAAGGAGCTCAGAAAGGCGGCGTTCCCTTTTTGTTGTTATTGTTGTTGTTTTTGGTGTTGTTGTTGTCGTTGTTGTTGTTGTTGTTGTTGTTGTTGTCGTTGTCGTTGTCGTTGTGGTTGTTGTTGTCGTTGTCGTTGTAGTTGTCGATGTTGTTGTTGTTGTTGTTGGTGTTGTGGTTGTGGTGGTTGTTGTTGTCGTAGTCGTAGTCGTAGTTGTTGTTGTTGTTGTTGTTGTTGGTGTTGGTGTTGGTGTTGTTGTTGTTGTTGTTGTTGTTGTTGTTGTTGTTGTTGTTGTTGTTGTTTGTTGTTTGTTGTTTGTTGTTTGTTGTTTGTTGTTGTTGTTGTTGTTGTTGTTGTTGATGGTGTTGTTGTTGTTGTTGTTGTTGTTGTTGTTGTTGTTGTTGTTTGGCGTCGTCCCCCCGGCGACCTGGCCCGAGACCCAGCCGCGACCCACCCGCGACCCGCCCGCGACCCACCCGCGACCCGCCCGCGACCCACCCGCGACCCACCCGCGACCCACCCGCGGCCCGCGACCCACCCCGCGACCCACACACACTGCTTTAACGAAAAGTCGGCGCCGGCGGCGGGCCCGTGGTGTGAGTTGTCAAAATTTGGCGCCTGCGGCGGGCCTCTTGAAAGAGCCTCGCTGACTGCAGGAGCCCCCGCCGCCCCCTCATTCTTATCCGCAAGTGCGGGATGCTGCGTATGGTGACGAGGACGATTTGTCGTGTTTTTTTGGTGGGCTTTTCTTTATAGGCAACACCCCAACATACTTATACTATATGTGCGTCGCCCCCCCAGGGGCGGCGCGCGCACCGAGAAATCTTATAGTATATGCGTCGTGGCGGGCGCTTTCTGGCCACAACGCTCGGGAAACGATATACTACAGATTGGTATACTATTTGATCGTGTCGAACGCGTGCCTCCAAGGAGGACATATAGTACTAGTATGTCTTATCTTTCGGCTATTTTAGAATTTTTGTCCCGAACATCTGCATGTAGGAGGGTATGCCCGACCTAAGCCTGAGGCATCCTCACAATTCCCGTTTCCGAGTTGGTCGGGATGGGGCCGTTGCGACTGAGATTCGAAGAAGAACCAAACGCCATAACACTCAAACCGTTAGCGCTCCGCGCGGATTTCTTGGATCTGCGCTGGAGCGCCCTGGCGGCGCCTCTGGTGCCGCCCCTGACGCGCTCCGCGCCCCAAGGACGGGGTCCAGCTCAGATCCAAGAAATCTACTCGAAACGTCAAAAGTTAATATTTATGCCGTGTTCCATTCCTGTAAATGGGCCGTTTCGGCTGAGGCATCCTCGAAATTTTGGGTTTCCAGATGTTACGCTCGAGGCGGTCCAGCCCGTTTCGCCTCAGGCATCCGGGCGTTTCTGGGCCCCGCGATTGCCAGGATTGAGGTGGTCCAGCACGTTGCGCCAACGACATCCTCCGGATCTGAGCTCCGAGATTGTC